CCCCCTTTCTCCTGCTGTGCTCGCTGAAACGTAGTACGCCCCCGCGAATTGGTCAAGAAATACCAGGTGCGGCAACTACAAATTTAATTTCTTCTTTCTTCCTGGCGTTTTTCACAAACAGGAACTATTTTTGAAACTTTATTATTGTAGCCGTAGCTTTTAATGTATTCATTATGTAACACGTACAGAAAACTAACCATGGAAATAACGATGGGAACCCGTTATATCTCGCTGTTTTTTTTTAAAAATCTACGTGTTGTTATTTTGACAAAAAAAAAATAATAAAAGAACGTAACTTAGCTGTTACAAATTACAAGAACGCGAATTAGCCCTTTGGTTTGTTTGTTTGTAATTAAGCACAAAGCTACACAATGAGCTGTCCGTGCTCTGCCCACCACGGGTATCGAAACCCGGATTCTAGCGTTATAAGTCCGCAGACATTCCGCTGTGCCACGGGTGGGGGGGGGGGCGGCCCTTTCGTAGGGCATTCGATTTCGGATCTTGTGAGTGGAATTCGATACCGCGCGATACCACAAAACATTCCACGCACTTCAGACATGAGTGCGTAATTAGTGTGAGAGTCAATCCCTCAGCGTGAATGGTGCAGCCCGCTGGTTGACTCTCCTTGGTCAGTAGCTTTTTTTTTTCATAAATACAAATTAAATTTTTATGTTTAATTTTCGTACACGAAATACTTAAAGAGTATAGTACATTAACAAATTGTACACAGGTGTAAAAAACATAGATAAAACACAGCGACGCAAGAAAAACACGCGTGTTTTCCGCAATACTCTCAAACTTAAGGAAGCACGAGAATTAATGTTTTTAAAAGTGGTTAAAATATAGGTGGAGATTAATTTCGTTTGGAAATCATACCAGAAAGGTTCATTTCAAACTCCTTAAAACATAACAAGAAACATCTTTGAATGCATTTTAGAATTATATATTTTATGAAATAAATACTGAAAAATAATTTCCATTTTTATATAAAACATTAATTTGTAATATTGTTTCATCTATATGATATATTAATTTTTAATGTTAATTAATTTATATATTATATCGATAATAATGTCACTTTTATCTTGCTTCGTAACTATCAAATATTACTTTATTTCCTCCTTTAACGTCTCTGCAAGCTTACATACTTGTACACTTTCGTAAATGTTTGTAGGCCTACGTTACAAATGACGTTCAAACCGCTTTAACTATACTAGGCTTAACGGAAAATCAACTTACTTACACAAAGTAACAAAATAAGCGTAATAGTTCCAAATGTTGCACTGGCTAATTCAAATCTTTATCTTGAAATCAAAGGCGTCGCTAGGTAATTAGATGATTCTGGGCTAGGACCCAAATGCGCGGGAATTGTATGATATTCGTTTCTGTATGATATGCGCGGGAATTGTATGATATGCGCGTTTCTGTATGATATCAATCATGGTTTTCTATTCTGATTTTTCAAGACACAAACTGGGGATTCGAGGCAACGGCAAATAGAATTGGGGCACGAGCCCCATATGCCCGTGCCTCTGCTTGAAATAACTTATCTCTCTCTTAATTAATTATCATCGAATATACTAGAGAGCTTTAAGTTACATCCTTAGAATTTTCTAGGTGTTCTAGGCCTATCTTATTAAATCTTTTGATCTTAACGTCATAATTAAAGACCGCAAATCCCTCTACCTAATATCTAAATTACAACGTAAAAAAAAAAAAAGCTTATAACAATATACTTCTTGTTGAAAAGTTTGAGTTCTTCTTGAAACACGAGAGCAAGATGATCTGTTTCAATTTTACTGTACACGAAAATCTTTGTTTCTTGGGAACAACTGTCATGTTTATAACGCTGGTTCTAAGATATCCAATATAAGTATTTTATTTACACAAGTATGATGAGTATATGTAATAGAATAGTACAATCTGTGTGGCGATTTGCTATCTATCTATCTATGTCAAGTTCCTTATTAAATTTACAATATGTAATAATGGAAACGAATGATGGCTCCTACTTCCTTTTAGTATCCTTACTACTCCAAGTACACTCCCCCACGGTGACAGAGATTCGAACCCGCGACCCTCAGATTGACAGTGGAGTGTCCTAACTACCAGTCCATATGTACAAAACGAACAAGTTCTTAAATATTATCCACTTATCGGAGTTTTCATCTAACTCTAATTTATCAAAATAAAAACAAAAATTTTTTTTGTAAGCGACGACACGAGATTAAACATCGTAAAACAATTTTCGTGTGCCATAGTTTTTATACTGATTTATTTTTTTACATAATAGAATTAAACCTTAAATAAATAAAATTGAAATATGTATAAGGCCTGAACGATTCGCTCTCGTAAGAAGAGAAAAAAATTAACAATTATGTTTTTTCTGACATTTTAACAGTAATTATTTGTTTAGATGGTGTTAGTTATGGTGTCAAAACTCGTGCACTGCGGTAATGAAGGGTAGGGGGGGGGTCACTAACCTTTGCTGTGTAGCGTTTCGCTAAGACTAATGCATTATAAATTTAACACTCAGATTTTGTCTGTCCTTGAAAGCTGACAACGCG